CGCCATGCTCCAGAACGAGCAACAGCGCGTGGCGCTAGCTATCTCCAAGCTCGGGGGCTGAGCGTGAGAATAAGCACTGACCTGCGTTACCTCGAATGAAGCGGCGTTCTCTCCTGGACAAAGCTGGCGCGTCAGCTTTTGGGAGTGTTGCCTTACCAGGCATACCGCGTGCGAACGCGTTTCCTTGCCGCTCGACAGAGCAAGAAAGAGTTGGTGGACTTTGTCCAGGAGTAGCAAACTCTAATTGCCGGGATGGCAGCCGATCATCTCCCCGAGGCGGTCTCAGTGACCGTCTATATGGAGGGCCTCCGCTCTGACGTGACCAGAATGGAAGTCTTCCGTGTGCAGCCGTCTTCTTTGAAAAAAACGGTGAATGTGGCATCGAATGCCAAATTCAAATTTAAGTCGGCACGACTGGGCTGGAATGCACACTCTAGCATCCCGTCGAGCGGGCCTAAGCTATGGATCTCAGCTTTGCTGAGAATGAGGAGGCAGAGCTCCGAGCTGCCGGGTAGCGTTCGAACACCCAACGGTGTTTCGTCTGTGGAGATACCCGTCACTTTCGGATTGATTGTCTCCTGCGCAAGGCACGTCAAGGTTCATCGAACCGACCTATCACTTTTCTCATATCTCCTGGTTTGTTGCGGGGATACGACAACTCTTAGTAGGCGGGGCGGCCTAGTGTGCTACACCGCGTCAAAAAGTCACTACGTGGCAGGACTGTCAGTAGTTATGCATATTTATGAGGTCTTTCTATTTGACTAGAAAAACCTAAGGTTTCAGATATAGGCGGCTCTATTGCATATAAATCAAATAGATACAGTTTTAATTTTGATCGGAATAGCGTCTTCACCTCGGTTAAGGTTTAAGTACTCTTGGAGGTAGCGGATTGCGATCCGCTACACCCGTAATGGTTCTGGTCTTGAACGAAGGTCGGTGAACTTAAGTAAGATTCCTCTAAGCAAAGAGCTACGAAAGTCCCGCTGCATAAAACCTTAAGCAGTGCAGCACAAGTTGCTGACGACCAGTGCATCGTGTCTATTGACTCGTCGATGCGCGATGTCACCAGGTGATATATAGTCCAAGCGACACAAAAGCGCATCTTCTATTGAAATAAGCCGATCCCGCTTAGATTTAAACTAAAGGGTATACTCGACCAAGTATGACAATTGTTTTACACTATTCTACCTGATGTTGTGGTGGTGTCGCTGTATGTCACGACGGCTGATGGCCTGTACAGATGTCGATTCGGCTCGACCTGAATTGATATATTCTGACATTTAAAAGGCAAGGTTTGCCTCAAGTCAGGTAAAACGATATCGATGCTCCGAGAACATATCCAAACTCTAGATTAGCACAGCCTAGGACGCATGCTGAGTTGCTGTGTCTAGCAGGGTGCCGCCACAAATCAAAAGACCTTACGAGGGCCAGAAAGGAGGGCTGACCTCAACTGGCGCTTCTTAATGAGATAGAGACGACTCGCTTTCACATGAAATGTTTGGTGTGCCGGGCGTGTACAAAAGTTGATACCCGCTCTTGGTGATGTGAAAGAGCTTTAGTCAGTCCGAACTCTCGTGGGAGATTCTATTTCATGAGATTGCCCTGAAACCATGAGCGCATACCTCCTGGATCTTACTGTCCTTAGAGAATATGAAGGGCCGCCCGTCTCGGCGTGCTTCCTACAAGCTAGAGGTGATTAACCATGCGGTGAAACAGAGCCTTGGTATGGCAGATGTCTCATTGAAACTAGCGGGGCTATCAACAACAGAAACTTTAGGTGATGATTTGTTACCCCGACGTCCGCATCGAGCCTCACATTTCGCAAAGTCAAGGGAGAGAGGATGCTCCCGGCTGGCGTTTGCTTTGCTGAAGCAGATTGTAAGACCCAAAGACGGGTGCGATGGCGTGTTCCCTTCATTGAGCGCGCCAACTATATACTCAGTCACACTTTTGCCAACTTCTAGTACTCATGCTAAAATTCTTAAAGAGAGTACGGGTTTTCAAATCGCTGCTTTTCCAAGCGTAGACAGTACTCCTGGAGTTGGATGACCTACAATTTGAAATGAGCTCGCGGGGTAACTTTTAGTGCAGGTTTTGGCTGCAGCTCTGCACAACTATGGTTGTGGCAGCTCCACATCATTACAACAAGCTACTTTGGACGAATAAATATCATAATCATAGCGCGATCCGGTCAAGAGTAGCGGAATTCTCGCGCTCGCAGTAAAGCAAGCTGGCCTACATTGTTAATGAGCTGAACACTGCGTCGAAACATCCCCCGAGCGAATAGGCTGAGCGCAGGGCCCATCTTGTCTCTTGAGAGCGGTCATGCCGTGTAACGCCGGTGTGTTGGGTTAGGACTCTGAGAGTTTGTAGAGTGTGTCTTGAAGAACAAAATATTGTGGTCTTAATCTTAGTTGGGGAGGTTTTCACCGGACATGTTCTGTAATCGTGTGTACTTCACCTTACAAATGTATCTGTTTTATTTTGCGAAATTCACGTTTTACATGGTGTAATTGTAAATATTAATATGTACCAGAATATCTGTACTAATGAATAAGCGTTCAGAAAAAAGTCTCATTTTGAGAAATAAAATTGGATGTATATGTAGCACTACATTTTAGAATAATTTATCTCTAAAATATAGACTCTTGTTACAGCAGTACCAACTAATCGATTTAGTTATCTGATAAGCTCCCGGTTCCGCTTCCGATCAAAGCGCGCGAACTCGACCTCTGTGCGCTTGTTAATGCGGGCTAAGAGAGTTAAAGCTTCCTCTTGCAAAGCGCACGGAAATTTCGTTGCGAATTCGGACTAGAAACTAAGGAAGACATCGACCACGAGCTTTGTTACTGCTACTGCACGCTCTAAATGAGAAATCTGAACAGAAATGTAGTTATTTTGAGAGTATGGGTATCGGGTTTAGCATTCTACCCCACTCAGAGTCACTGGCTCGGTTCATAGCAATTTACCAGACTTGACAGGGATCATTTAGGACAGGTCTTACTGTTGCCTCGTCTGATTTGTTAACCCTATAGGTCGAAAATTTCGTGCCACGGTTACCCGTCGCAAGATATCATAAAATTCGATAATGTTTGATATAACTTCTTTCTACTGTACTCTCCGCTAAAGTCGACCGGACACACACAAGTGGTACTTTAGATCCTAGCCTAAACGGCGCTTTCATACAGGTGTCATAACATGAGCTGATCAACCCTCATCAACTTTACCGAGCCCGAAGGGCGCCGCGGAGGCGACTTATAAATCAAGACCGACACGTTATTTTCTGCGACTTTCTACATAGACAGTTTTGGAGGCTTCCATCAACACGCTCGTTTCCTACTGGTTCGTCAAAAGGTGACATACTAAATTAAATTAGGTTGTCCTTACATTAACCATTAGTTGGGCAAAGTTCAAAAGCTATTGGAACTTTGGTTTAGACCTACTGCCGTCAATTTTTATGCGTAACCCCAGTGCTGAGACACATAAAAAATACATTACTTTATTTATTTGTATAGTACATTTTCTTCGTCAAATCATTGTTGGAAGAATCCCGAATGTATACAAAGTCGTTTTGCTCCGTCTCTGCAACCAACAGCGCTCTTTATTTATTTTTCGGTTGGCTACATCAGGAAGAGAGCCCGAATTAGAGCCCCCCAGCCGACACGACGCTGCATTGTTTGCTTCCTCTTAGTCAAATTTGCACGTATATTTAATCGCAAAGCCCATGGCGAGCAAGCTTGATGCATTCCTTGCCGTCGTACCTGCCAACTCTAGTGCACCCAGTCCACCCAAGTCGGCACCGGCATCACTAGCTCTACCGCAGTTCGAAATTAAAGTGGCGCCCGAGAATATTGGCATTTTGGCGCCCACGACACCGAAGTCACCTCTAAAGCATCAGCGTTGCTCTACTTTTCAGCAAAATAGTAATTTTGGTCTTGATCTAGCGCCGGACAATAGCAGCTCTAACCGAATGCAAGTCAAATCTGAAGATGATCGGGGTTTGACGCAACCTTCACCGTTGAAGAGCTTTATGGCTGCTCAGGCGGCAGCAGCTAAATTTAAATCTTATCAAGAAAAACAGTGTCTGTCATTGCCGGCTTTAGTACGTATAGGTAGTGGCACTGAATTGGACGCAAAGTCGGAGGCGGAACCGATGCGCATGGCCAGTATACAAGGCTCGCACCATCGTCGAGTGTCCACAGATAGGACATCCTTCAATCGATATCTGCGTCAACAGGAAGATGTTGACATTGGCCAGGAGGCAATAGAGCACTTTGCCAATGTGCCAGTCATTACCGCTACTTTAGCTGTTTCAGATGAGCTCGAAAGCGAATTGGGTACAGACGACAACGTCAACAAAGAGTTAACGAATGCGGGTATACCAGAATTAACACTTGACGAAATTACTGCATTGTTTCGACTTGGTGGCACGATATCAGTGTCTTGTGCACTTGAGATTGTGCGAAAAGCGACCAACCTTATGTCGCTGGAGCAAAATGTAATCGCAATCCGTGCGCCGTATACGCTTGTGGGAGATCTTCACGGACAGTATCAAGATTTAATGCAGTTATTTCACGTCCACGGTTGTCCGGCAGTCGACAACCCGTTCTTATTTCTCGGGGACTATGTAGATCGTGGAATATCTTCTTGTGAAATTATTCTGCTGCTTTTGGCGTACAAAGTGGCTTATCCCGAAAGTGTACATCTACTGCGCGGTAATCACGAGTGCAGAAGCTTAAGTACTTTCTACGGCTTTCGCGCGGAATGCTTGAAGAAATATGGACCTGTAGTGTACAACCGGATGATCAAATGTTTCGAAAGTATGCCGTTAGCTGCGCGACTTGAAACTAGTCATGGTACGTTCTTGGCTGTACATGGAGGACTCTCGCCGGACATATCTTTCGTAGATGACATCAACGACCAGGTGAACCGCTTCATGGAGCCCGAACCTTACGGTGCTTTGTGTGACTTGCTTTGGTCAGACCCTGCAAGGTGCAAAGCACAGGAGCAAGAGTGGGTGCCCAATGGAACCCGTGGTTGCTCCTATACATTCAATGAGCAGGTTTGTTGTGACTTTCTTAAACGCAACAATTTACTGGCTATCATTCGTGCTCACGAGCTTGAAGAGGATGGCTTTAAAGAGCATTTTTGCCAGGATGCGGACCAAACGCATGAGGAAACAGATGAAAATTTATCTTTACCTGCAGTTGTGACAGTGTTCTCAGCTCCAGAGTACTGCAACACAAATCACAATGTTGGGGCAACGTTAAAGATACCGTGGGAAAAACAAAATGGCCGCTTGCTAGAGTATCAGCAGCACAAGCGCAGTCATAACGCCGAGTTTGAGTTTACTCGCATTAGCGAAGATGAAGCTGTGAAGACGTTTTTGAAAGACAATTTGCCGTTTCTACCAATTGATTTTTACGAGCTAGTGAAAATTTGTCGACATTTGCGGCTTACTCTTGAGCGGGTAGCTAGCATCACATCGCAAGAGACAAAACCTATTCCGAAACAGTCTTTAGTCTCATCGCTGTGTACTTCAGGAACTCTCGAAAACAAGGCCATGAAGAAAAATCTGAACCTTTACGTAACACCTTTTGCACTGACTGATGAGATGGAGATAAAGAACGACGTGCTTAGTGCTACCGACTCCAATGAAGATAACAGAGAAAAGCTGCAGGATTGGGAATTAGTTGACGAGACAGAGAATTTCGAAGCTCGTACAAAAAAATCAAAGAAAAATGGAAAGAAGGTAAAATTGCACAAGAATTTGAAGGATAAGGCAACAGAGAGACAAAATAAGCAGAAGGAAAGAAAAAAGTGGGACACCAGTCGAATGGTGAGTGGTTGGAAATTCTGCCCGGGATTCGTGCGCTTTTACGACCGATATTTTGCGCGCGACAGTTTGAAAAAGAACAAGCCAGAGATCTTTTCAACACCTAGTCGTTTAGGTATGCGGGTTTCGTGGAATAAAGCACTATTTAGACGCTCAGTTTCGACAGGCGAAACTGCTGATGACAGTGCGACTCATGATACCAATGCTTCGGATCGTGTTCGAAGAAAGACGATGACAGACTGGATGGCGATACCCTCACTTGGGGAAGTGGTCCAGTTCACATCTTCTGTACAAGGCCACAATCTAATGCAGGCGAATGGTGTCAATATTTTTACGAATACACAATGGCAAGCCCTAAAATTATATTTTTCAATTTTGGATCTTGATGGCGGTGGTGTTTTGGCAGAAGAAAGCTTTGTTGTCCTTCTTGCTGAGCAAGATAGTGGTACGTTTCCTGATTTTGCTATCCTTCTGGGATATGTAATTCATGTTCTTATATTTTCGGTCGTTAATCTGTTACGCAGACGCATATGCAACTGAAGACGAATTGAGTTTATTATTGGAGGTCATGGACTGCAATGCTGACAGCTTGATCACGGAACAGGATTTCTTATTGTTTGCGTTCCGCGCTATGTTGCGGTGGAAAAAAGGCTTACACAATTTGGATTAGAGCGAAAAGAAATATCCAAGCGACGTACGGTAACATAAATGTCAGAATAGAATCGCCAGTATAGCGGTAATTGATAATTCAATTAAACAAGCAAAAGCTGCTGTTCATCATGCTATACAATTCTTCGGTTGGGAACTTTCGGGAACTGATCCTTTTGACTCATTGTCACATTAAAGCTTTTAGTGCCGACAGTTCCCGCAATGGAATATGTCCCAGGGCCAACAATAGCTGGGACCGACGGCTTAATGCGAAAACGAGCTTCGTTTCCCAATGTGAAGCAGGCATTTCTTGATCTTGTAAACATCATTCCATCTTTGTCGCAGATGTCTAAGTACGCCCCAGGACCTGGCGAATTGGAGGCATATTTGGTCTCATAAACGGAACGCCTTTGCGTTGATAGAAACGGTGCGCGTGGGGTCTGAAGACTCGTAACATCCACTTTATCTGGCCGATTCAGAGTGACATTAAATAAGTTCGTCGAAACGTTGTATTGTCCGACAGCAGGTGAGACGTGGTCGCCAACACAATGAATATGTGGTGGGGCAAGAAGCGATGCATTCTTTGTAAACCTGACTGAAGCGGATTTAAATGCAGCTGAATTGAGATAGTGCTTCGTGTCGAATGAGCCAAATTCTGAATACGCACCAGGACCTGGGGTGCAGGCCTCCTCACCCCAAATCTTTCGTTCTGATGTCGTTCCAAAGACTCCATTTCGACCGATGCCTAATTTTAGTTTAACCGTTTGATTAAGGGACCGTGGGGTCTCGCACTTGTATGTACCAGGCCCTGGTGCTGCAAGTGTTTTCATGTAAGCAAGGCAAGGTCGCTCTGTAGCACACGAAAAACCCATACCATCGGGCCGGTGATGCAGAATAGAAGCTCCGCTTGTATTCCTTCCTAGTTGGTCTGATGAGCCATATGTCCGATCAGCGATGTACATGCCTGGACCTGGTGTTGATGCATTAGTCGGGTTGCGAAAAGGAGTACTGATGTGCGACATAACATCAGTTCGACCCGTTGTTGAGCCGAATGCCTTCGTCTTTGAGCGAAATCCTACAATTCTAGACTTTTCCTGACGACATCGTTCAATGCGCTCTTCTTTTAATTGAATATCTTGCTCTCGGTCGAGGTCGGATCCTCCAACAGGCTTGTTTTGAGTGAGAATAGGTACCTTGGATAAAATTCTAGCACTGTGTCGAGCCCTTTGCTGCCGACTGCGCCTTGCACCGATTCGCGGTCGCTGACCATCTGAAACCCAAAATGTCGGTGTAGTTTCAGTGTCGTAGTGACCAGGGCCTGGAAGCTCTATGAGCTTGTTATTCTCCTCCCAGACGTCGCGTTTCGTGGTTGATTTTAGTGACGAAGCACAGCTCTTCTTGTCATTCCACATGGAGGTGTGACTGTTGTATGCAGCTGGCCCAACCGTATCCTGCCCGACACCAGAATACATTAAGTTTGGCAAATCTTGCCGTTGGAGGTCGGCGCCTACGAGCACGTAGCCGTAACTCTGCTGTCGCTGCGGAATTGCTGGCACCGACGGTTTGACCAGATGTGCAAAGTTGTGGGGCCTTTGGTGCTCTCGCTGATTACTTGAAGGTGATGATGGGTCTGAATGCAAATAGGTTCCAGGACCTGGATTGTCTTGAATGCTAGATGCACGAAAAGCTGTCGATCCCGGAGCACTCGGAGCAAAGCGAGAGATCTAAGTAACAGAAATTAGAGCGTCCATTAATTTGATTGATATGTACGATTAGTACCGCCGTACCTTGCTAGCGAAGACGTTCGAAGGTGTTGATTCGTGTTGATGGCAAGTATCAAAAGTATATGCCCCCGGACCTATTCAAGTCAAAGTACAATATCAGAACCCCGTCAAGCTGGATGTGGTGAGCCAAGCACGATACCAGGAGTGATGGCTGATGTTGTCTTATGTACGTTTAGGTTGAGTCTTTCGGATGTGGCAAAGCTTGAAAAATGCGGACGATGTGCATGAGGACCAAAACATGTAAAAAATTGCTCGGGGGCATACGATCCTGGAGCGACCGTGGCTGGTGTGGAGCTGTCAGAATGAAAGGCTGTTATGCGCTTTGATCGAGTCGTGATAGTCATTGCCGCTATCGACGCAAAATGATGCCTGGCATGTCATTCGAGATCAGGGCGAGATTATACATTTCATTAAAATAGACGGCAACACTAAAAATATTTTTTCGGAGGAGCTGGTCAATAGAATAGATACCTTTTCCGTGAAGAAGATTTTCATTCAGCCGTATCATTTTCATTGATGCAGTCACCCATCCAATTTCAATTGAGATAAGATCTTGGGAGTTGAATGAACATGCGCGAAGTTAGCCGAGTTAGTGACGAAGACTTCGACCATCAAGCATGTTATCTAACTCGTAGATGTCAAAATACACGTAACACAAAGCAACAAAAGTATAAAAACTATTAAGCTATTGCCTGAGCGATCAGAGAGCAAAAACCTCAATTTCACACAAGTGATTTTGCTCGTGACGAAATTTACAATATAGCGCTGCAATGCGCCTAGCACTGCTGCTACGTCTCGACATTAACAGTGTAAGCAAAAGTGCCGTTTGACATCGCAGCTAACTTTAAAAATAGGTTTGTCAGATTATGTTACAATCGCATAGACTGAATTATCGAGAAAGATATGGCAGTCAAAGTATGATGAAGGTGCAGTAGCTATCGTACACCGACAGCAAGTAAAAATAATGATTGCCGGCATATTAGTGAAGCCATGAATAAACAACGAGCACTTGGTTTGGTTTCAATCGAAGGATCAGACATCTATTGGTATGGCTCACTTCACATTTTTTTTTGTGGTAACTGTTTCCTTAATTTGGTCTGAATAAGATCTGACAGTTTTGTTTTCGGTGTTTTCAGATTTCTTTAGACCGGAACTGAGGTATTTCGCCACAAGAGTGACAAGTAGCGTAGGGTTAGCGGCAAGCGATACAGGAAGATCTTAATCGCATTGTCTTCATGCTCTTGCATATTCTTTTTTTCGAATACGTTTCAATATATATTGATGTGAAGTTTTGGAGCACTACAGTGAGAGGGGTGGGGGAAAAACTGTGGCTTTGCCATCATAACCTTCCACAACTTTTATCTTCACGGGGCGTATGGAAAAGACCGCACACCGGAGCTCTATTTGCTGCCTCTCGGAGTCGCGAAAAAATATCCAATCGGCGCAAGCGACGCGCCCTGTGACCAAAGATTGTTCATTTTCTATCTTGCGAGAAGCTTTCAATTCTCTCCCGCCCGACTCGACAGACTTGCTGTAATGAGTACGCGCGTATTTGTGCGGCTTTACGACGGCACGACACAGCATGAGACGGATGATGAGGTGCTTGAGCTACCACCACCGCCGCTTAAGTGGAAGGATGCTATAACTACAATGGTGGCGGCACTAGGTAAGCAGAACGATTACGAAGACGGCGTGACGACGCCCAAGGCGCGACTTTTTTTGCTGCCCACGGAGATTATGGGCATTGCAGCTGAGGTGCGTGTTAAAGTGCAATTGTGTATTTTAGATGCCAGTAGGGTAGTAACAGTTGCGATGTGGTGACAGCTGAACGCTCGCTCGCTGCGCTTTGGCGTCCGTGAGAATGATCACTTTGTCATTTGTTTGCGCGGTGAAGACTATCAACAACCTAGCGAGCGACAAATTGATTTATCATCTGTGATCACTCCCATTGCCTCCAGCGAATCAGGAAGACCCACGTCTCTCACTTCACCAAATTCTTGTGTCGTCACTTCACAAGTCAACATCGCTTCACAAGTCAATGGTCTTAATTTGGGTGCAAATTCGTCCACTGGAGCCGTGGAAGGACCACCGATAGGTGTTTTAGGAAGTAATGCTCGATCTGGAAGCCTAACATCTGGTGCCAAGAAGGGAAACAAGCGCTACCGCAGTATCTCGGGCAAGATGGCTGCAATAAAGTCTTTGAGCGACAAAGGGCTCATCTCAAACGATGATCGGGGTCATCTGAAGGATCTGTTGCTAAATAATGACTCACCTCAGCTGCAAGAAGCATTGGAAAAGTATAACAACACAGGCGATTTTGAGGCCGTAAAAAATCTCTTGGCCAAAGAATCTCATACCCCGTCTACAAAGCGCAACACTGGTGATTGGCTGTCGGAGAGCTTTGTTAACGAAATTGCGCTTAACCTCAACGCGACGTCACCCGTTGAAAAATCTGAGCCGATATCTTTGCCGAACGACTCCAACGTAGGTCATTTCAACACCGCTACCGCTCCTCTGTCTCAGTCAGCGATGGGATATGGCTACCAATCGAGCCAAACTCCGCCGATGAATACGTCGAATAATTCGCAAAGCACTTCTATGACGATGAATTATTACGTGAATTCGGCTAATTTAGCAGCTCCTACTGGCAATAGTTTGTCATTCAGCAGGGGTCATGTATCTGGAATGAATGTGTCGAATGGATATCAATCCTTTCCAGTCATGGCACCATACCAGCAGCCACATGCCTCACCAACGAACATGTATGCCGGCTTGCCACCCCAGATTAATTTGCCTCTTCGAGATCGCGCGACATATATGAAGCGTGGATATGATTCGTCACCTGTTCACAACACAATAGGCACGAGTCCACCTGCAGTTCCCCTTACAACCTCGGCACACTTGGCAATGAACGGCTTCGGTATGCAACAAAATTACACCATGAACCCATTGTCGTACCCAGCAAACGTCATCTACGCGAGAAACCAGTCACAGTATCCCTTGAACACGTACACGTCCGGCCCGTTAAACAACAGCATTTACAATTCGTACCAGCCACAGCCTCAGTATGCTACAAATCGGTACGGATACGGCAGCATGCAGCCGGACATGGGCTATAATCCTTACGCTGCAAGGTACGGCTTCGGCTCAGCCCAGCTTCGAGCTGGCCCTGGAGGTAAGTGGACTACTGCTCCACCGATGCCATCGTACCCTCCGCCGTGTTCAAAAGAGGAAAAGAAGGAGAAGATTGCTAAGTGGCTAAAGAAACGTGAAAATCGTAATTGGTCCAACAAACCTTCATATCCGGTGCGGCATAGTATTGCAAAGAATCGCAAACGAGGAGAAGATGGTCGATTCATAACGAAAGCGCGACTGGCCGAAATGGCCGCAGAGGAGGCAGCAGCAGCAGCTGAACTTCGTGACGAGCCGCAGAAAGCGTCCAACCCGTCGTCGTCTTCCGAAGATTCTTCGGTGTTTTTGATGGCTCAGACCTCAATACCGAAAGCCACGTCCGTGCCATAAAGTATAAATTGACGTAGAATAGTTTGTTAATCTGTCGAATTGTAAGTAAAGTTAATTCGTAAATCATTACTACAACAATTCAAGTGCCGATACAGATAGTTTGTGTGACGAGTTACTCCAAAATGAATTAGACATCGAGCCATACCTCTCCCCAAAATGCGCTTTAAATGTTACCGCTTTCGGAAGCTTTCAGCTTTAATTATGAAAAATGTTGCTATAAGGCCTAAAAATTCATAAATAATCATAACTGAATCAAAAACAAGCACTGTATTTAATTGACGCGAGTGCAAAATGTCGAGATCATAGTGTAGAAGGTCGTCTTCGTCATCATCTTAAACAAATATACTCTGGACAGCTACAATGTCCTCGAGTAGGTTGTGCATCAGCAAATCAAACTCCGGTATATACATCGTGAGGAAAAGAGTCGTCGAAATTGTGGTAGCACCTGAGACGTAATGCCAGCGCTTGTGCCACTTGTCATATCGTTCACCACCAGGCATACCACAGTAAAGCCACGTAAAAGTAGAACATTACGCCGGCAATTTTTTTCCTTACCGTAATTTACCACCGAGAACATTCCTGAAACCTTCTTTCGGGACAGCAGCGATTTCAACGACACAACCTCTCGACCACCTTTGAGCGAGAGCCACGACTTTTCGATATTAGGGTAGTTTTAGAACCGCTCAACTACTGAGATCTAACAGCTGCTATTTTGACGATGCAACCTCTCGACCATCTTATAGCGAGAGCCACGTCTTTTCGATATTAGGGCGTTTCGGCCGCCAACGTTCAAACTATATTGATAAAAGCAATAGAACAGATTTTACCTCAAGGAT